AGGAGATAATATAATCAATTAATCAATACGGTTTAGGAAATAAATTATTATTAACTAACTTTGCAGCAATTGCGCAAGTAATAATAACTTGTATTCGCACTAAATGGATTTAAGTTCATACAACATTATATATATATATATATATATAAATGAGAATGAAATATGCACATCTTTTAAAAACAGTGACATAAGAAATACCATGAAAAATTGTTGCCAAACCCATATTTCTAAAAGAATGAAACTTTCCCTAAAAAAATCACTCAAAACTTTTCAATATCTTAAAAACAGTGAAATGAGCAATAAAAAACATAAAAGAATAGAAAAAACAAAAAATTCTGAAAAGTAAAGTATAATTAATGATATTTTATCTTATAATTTCAAGAGAAAAAAATTAGAATGAAATAAGCTATATCCCTTAATACAAATATTAATTATACTAATAAAAAAATTAACCAACTTTCCGTTGAAGAAAAAAAATCATGCAAAAGTTTTCAATATCTTACAAACAGTGATGAAATAAGCAAAAAATAACATGAAAGCAACTCAAAAAACATAAAATTCCGTGCAGAATTTTACTCTACAGAACAACTTTATAAAAAAAAATCAATAAAAATTTATTATATATATATATATATATATATAATATAATTTTTATTGATATATATATATATATATAAATGACAATGAAATATGCCAATCTCTTAAAAACAGTGACATAAGAAATACGATGAAAAATTGTTGCCAAACCCATATTTCTAAAAGAATGAAACTATTCAAAATGATGCTATTTCATCAAAAATCTATCACCAACAATAAGACAGGAAAATTGTTGCCAAAATCACATTTTTAAAGATGTGAGATGTGTGAAGTGTACTCGGAAGTTTCATTTAAAGAAATTTTTAAAAATACAAAATATCATCATTTTTCCAAAATTCTTTTTGTAAAAGCAGTCGCAAGGATGAAAGTTTAACATGTCCAAAAATCAAAGAAAAATAAACTATACATTTTTAAAAATAAACTTTTTTAGAAAAAAATCCTGCTGAAAAGGTGTTAAGCTCCCTTTGTTAAATAAATTCATATTTAATCGATTTATTGAAACACAAAATTTATTTTAAGTTCGTAAAATAGCTAAGTGCCTACGTTTCATGATGATGTGAAAATGGAGGGCGTAGAGTAAAATCTCGCTTTCCTATAGCCCATTATGTCTCAAAATGACGCAATTTCGTCACAAAACATAAAATTTAAAAAATTCAAATTTCGGGGGGGGGGAGGAAACCTTCAAGGTGCACTGGCTCTTGTCTAGATGCACCTATGTACCAAATTTCGTAGCCGTGGGTCTATTAGCTTATGCGCAGTGCGGATGAAAGACACACACAGACAGACTCTTTGTTTTATTATATGTAGAGATATAAGTGTAATTAAATAGAAACTTCCTCAAATAAACTAGTGATCATAAAATAATTCAAAAAATAAAAGTTACGAAAATACACAATGTTTGAAAGCAGGAACTTTACAGAGGATTATTCATAAGCCCATGACACACTTTTAAAACACTACAGATAAATTATTCATCTGGTACTGAATTTAATACACTAGAATAGACTTAAGTAATTACATATAGTTTAACAAATGTTCAAAGTGCTTATTTTTCTTAGTCAGCAGACACCTACACATCACTGGGAGGATCTACTTGAACATACTGCAAAGATGGCTGATTCCAGAAACATATGAAAACTTTATAATATTGTCATATTGAAGCTATTACTGTCATATTTGGATCCAGCAGCTATTGAAATGGCTAGCTGTGCTACACAACTTTATCTGGGGACATAGATATTATCAACTGAGTTTAAAGTGGCAGTCAGAAGCTGTCTGAGCATGGCTATACTCTGATATTTTAAAATAAGTAGTTTTTTAGGGTCCTTTTCAATTTCCTTCATTTCATGCGTGATTATTAGCAAAGAGCATTTATTTTCTCTACCTCATTTGAAGCTACAGTTCAAGTCATTCTTTATTCGCATGCTTTTCATAAAGCAAAACATTAAATGAAAATGAAGTGAGAAAAAAATAATTAGGACCCAATTATCTGACACAATTGTTGTTACTATGATTACATGAGGCAAGCCAAGTGAAGGAAAATTACCTTAAAGTGCCTACTCTAAAGTAACAGATTATGGGTCAGTTTAGTTTTATGCTGTTAAATATTTAAACCATCATTTTTTTCCAAAGAGTAGCCAAAAAAGACACAGAACATCAGAATAACCGTTTCACAGCCAGGACCGGATTTAGATTTGACGAGATGCTAAGCCCTTTATGAGGGATATAAGTCAATTTTTTTTATATGGTATGTGGTACAAATTTTGGAGCTGGCCCCAAGAAAAAAGGGGCCCTAAGCTATAGTTTGTGCAGCTTATACATAAATCTGACACTGTTCACAGCTTTCATCTCTATCTTTATGTTATACAGTCAAAAGTTGTTAATTCGGACACCCATAATCCGGACCTCAAAGCTACAAACTTTCTGCGCAAGTGTAGCGCTGAGACCTTTACGGCTGCAAATATGCGTGTGCGCATGCGCAAAATACGTTTACGCATACGCGTTTAATGTATAACGGACGGTATAAGCTAAGCTAAAATTATCTAATTCAGTTAATGTTGCAGATTGCGTTGTTCCTTAATCTTCGAATTGGATCCGGCTTATTATTTTTTGCAGACTGTTAGAACAATTTTATAAAAGTAAGCTTGAACTTTCGATTATGTCAAATAGAATTTCCGATATATATTTTACTAATATATAAAGGATCTACAAAGCGAAAGTATGTTTCGAAGTCCATTAAACAAAAAGTGGAATTGCTGCAAAAAATGGATAAAGGCATATCCTTTGTTTCTCTAACCATTCCAAAATCTGTTTATCAATTTCACACTGCTCTGCAGGGGGGGTGGATGTTGCAGCGTGCAATGAATTGGAAGTTGATCTGTCAGCACTATCCTTAGCTTCAGGTTAGATGTTTTCATTTTATTTGGCTTATAATTCCTTACTAAATGTAGTATTTCATCTCGATGTATTCCGTCTTTGATATGATTTAAATCAAATTCCTCGTCATTATAATTTGCTTCCGATAGTGAAGAAAGTGACACAGAGGTTATTGAAAACGAAAAATTTTGATTGACAAATTAGTCGGTATTCTCGACACAGCAATTATAGGACTTGAACAGCAGAACTTTGTAACTCAACAAGAAATTATGTCTGTTTATAGAATTAAAGAGAAAGTATTATCACATAAAACGAAGCAACTTAAACAACTTACATTGAAAGAAATGTTTAATAAAGTAAACAAATAATTATTAAGCTTTTTTTTTTTTTTTTTTTTAAATTTTGATACCCTTTAGATCATAAATGTTTTTTATTTCATAAATTACAGTTTCATATTTTTAATTTTATAATTTTTGCATGCCATTTTACCAGATTTAAACTGATGATCTATAATCCGGAATCGCCGAAGTCCTGACGAGTCCGGATTAACGACTTTTGGCTGTACAAGGTTTGACTGCTCTGTGATTTTAGATTTCTTGCAAGTAGGGGAGGAAACCCACCTTTCAGCAGGATTCTATCTACTCACTTTATTTTCAAACAAATTGATTAAACTCATTCAAAACATGCATTTTTAAAATAGTGGGTGTAGCACATGTAGCCAGACAATAGGCAAGCATAGGCTCTTAATATTATAACATGGTATAATGCATTAATTTTTAATCAAAAGCAAGTTTTCTAGGATTGCAAAATTCATTGTAAAAATCGTTATCTTTTAAAATTCCATAAAAGGAAGGAAAAAGTTTGCTTTCCAGGAATGAGTTTAAACATATTAACTGTTCCTTGATATGTCAGAGAAGTTTCAAAATAAATTTTGAATTTTAAATGATTTCTACCTTTGTTTATCTGCTACCCCCATCTTAAAGATATTTATAAAGCATGAATTTGAAATGCAGCCAGATTCAATACCATATCATTTTGCCAACAGCACAAAAATGAAGTGAAGAAATAAAAATTAACTGCAGTTGTTACAAAAATATTTGACAATAACTAATTTTTTATTTAAATTCATCATAAATTAAGTTTCAGTAAACTGTAAAATGTCCATAATTTAGTAATAGTGTTATAGATCTTTCAGTTGTTCAGATCACAGTAGGAGATGATGCAACTGTACATAATTTGTGTTTTTCAGCTTAAAAACTGCATAGTATCAGAAACTATCTGTCTTACCAATTATTTAGAAAGGGAAATTGAATTATTTTTGTCCATTCCCCTGACAAGAGTAAAAGTAATTCAATCTGTTCTAATATTTTTGCCATTTGGCTTAGACTTCTACTTCTGCTTAAGTTCTAAATTTGTTTTTACTGGTTCTTAACATTTCCCTTTGCAATACTGTAATACTTTGGAAGATTATAATTGTAACATTTAATATATGACATATTTATTTGCTGCTAATGTGCAGTAATTCCTCTGGTTTAGATAGTATTTATATTTTTCAGATTTTTTGGAAATCTTTTTCCTATTCCACACACACGAACATATAATCCAAAATAAAATATGTTTAAAATTTATCTCATATTCATTTTGGAATTTAAAAAAAATGCAAGAAATAGGAGAGTAAAATATGCCAAAATCAAAAATGAAAATTACATCTTTTGCATCACAGGGGGTTGGTGTAACAAAAGTAAATAAACAAAACAGCCTGATTCTGAACTGAAAAAGACACAATATGAAGTTTAAAGTTTAAAAATAATCTAATAAATACAAAAACTGATCAGATCTGCATCTTATCAGTCTAAAACCTAGGCTGAAGTATGCACTGTCAAAAATGCAAAATTATACAATAAAAAATATAGACAAATTAAAAAATTTTATGGGGTAGAGCAATTTTTTTTTAACCTGCATAATTCTTTTCATTTATATAAACCTATTTCTTTTAGTTCGTTATTTAGTACATATAAGAATTTTACCTGTGTTTGGGCACTAGGACTTTGATAAGCTTGCGTCAAAGGCCTTATATTTTTTAAACTTGGTTTGATAGGTTCTAATATATCACTTTGAAAACTATCTTGCCCTGTTACAGTACTGGATTCCATTAATGAATTTTCCTTTGACGATTCTATAAGATCCTAGGGAAAGAGAGAACAGTCATGCAGTAACTTGCATAACACAAATACTACACTTAAAGCCTTGATTAAATATAAAACATTCCATTTCAGACCATGAAATTTTAAGCATATCGTTTCCCATATGAAATTTTTAATATTTTAAAACTCTATCCAGTCCATACATTCCATGTGTAGAACTAACTACACATATGTTATCATATTGTACTATGTGTAAAGAAACTTGTTAGAATTACCATTTTCCTCAAAACATTTTATGTAGTTACAGAGATGCTAAACTATGAAGAATCAAAAAGACAGTAATTAATGCATATGTATTTATTTGAGGGAAAACATGTTATACATTTAGTTACATTTTAATACATTAATGCACTTGAAAAACACAAATGAGAATTTACAATTTAATTTATTAGTAATTTAATCTATTTTAACATTATTGTATGCAAATACTAAAAAAATAATATGTTGAGGATTTTATTTCATAAATGTTCATATAAAACATAGACTGACATAATTTAAGACATTTTTTACGCAAAAAATGTTCAGCACCGATTGGGAATTTAAAAATCATAATTTCCAATCAACCTTTAATATCATATGTATATTTGAGGTAAATTGTTTGCTAACTTGTAATGCCTCAGATGATGTGGCCAGTTATTAATGAGAAGTTAATAAATACAATTTTAGACAATGAAATAATGTTTATGAAACATTCATGATAGATCATACGGTGACTTAAGAGAAAATAAAAAATTACTATTTAGATTAAATGCATCATAAAAAAAAAAAAAAAAAAAAAACTCAGAATTTAACTAGCTTTCATTGAGATACCACCCAATGAAATTAGGAGATAATTATGAGCAAAAATGTACCATTACTAAGAAATAGAAATTTTCATGAAATTACATATAGAATATTGAGTACACAAATTACCATTTCTATGCATGGCTTTACACCAATCATGATGTTACCACTAAAAATTTTCCCATTTTTGCTGAGTGCCTTTTTAGCTTGAAGTTTTGATTGAAAGCGTATATGCATCCAGTTTCCAGTTGGATGTATCTAATAAAATAATTATAATTATTAAACTTTCATATATTCAAAAGAAATATTAGGAAAATCTTATAATTTGTGTAAAAATATTTAACTTTTATACGCTTAAATAATAATAATAATTTTAATCATATGCAACAGATGATAACACAGCAATTTTAGACATCAGATAAATGATAACACAAGTAAAACTTTACGCTTCCAATAACATGGAAGCACTATCTAAATAAGATGTTACTCTTAATATTTAAGTCAAAATTGTATACAGTTTCAAATGCAGGGTTATTTAAAATTTTGAAATATTTTAAAAATCCCTAACATGTAAACTATTAAAGATTTAATTATTTAAAATGTGATGTAGGTATGCATTTTCAAAGGACTGCTAGCACATGAGGCCTGAAATAATTATTTCTCATAATTCGTTTTTTATTTTCCCAGGACCCAAATTTTCCTACTGGAAAAAAAATCAATAAAAAAAAAAAAAAAAAAAAAAAAAAAAAAAAAAAAAAAAAAGATGTTTCAATATCTTAAAAAAATATATAACTTGTTCTTTTATTCAAAAATCAATGTTATTGCAAAATACGTACAGATTTTTCTCTTCAAAACTACAACATTTTCTTAAATGTGGTGTATTTAATGATGGCAAAGCACACTAGGGCTATCTGCCTAAGGGGAGAGATGCCTTCATGGAGGACTTTCTAAGGGAAAGTGGCTCATATACAAGTTACACATGGGGAAAATCACGAAAACATTCATGCAGACAGCCCATTCGTGGGATTCGAACCTCGGACCAAACTACCAGTGTTCAGCGACTTTACCGCTCGGCCGCTGGTGGGCCATTTTCTTAAATGTAAAGGATCTGAAGACGTTTCACATAACACTTTTATCATACCTTGTGTTCTATTATATTCCCATACTGAGAAAACTGTTGGAGAATGAAAGATGCAGATGCAGAAGGGAATCTGTAAAAAACAGGGGGGGATAGTTCACAGCAAATTATCTTTTTTAAAATACACAAAATAGATTATTATTAAACACAGTATTCATGCACTTGGAATAAAATATAATTTTTTATCAAATATAATGTTGATGAAAATTAATTATGTATTCAAATACATGCATATTTTGAAATTTCACAAAAATTGAAAATTAAAAAAGAAATCTTACAAATATATATCTTTAAAATGAATTATCATGCAAAAAATGACAAATAATTAGACATAATCACATTCAAATGACTATTCATAAGACTATTTTTACCTTATAAGAAAGCATATGCATATAGCTACAAATTGGCAAAATCATTTAAAAAAAAACACCTTATCTTTATTTGAGATGCAAACTAAACTCAAAACACATAAAATGCCTGCAAAGTTAGTTTATTTTATTTATCACTACAATCAATATTAAATATAGTAATTTAAGATCAATGTAAAATATTTAAAAGATGAATTACATCATGCATCAAATGGAGGGCTTAATATATAACAGTGTTTCTTAACCTTTCTAGCGAGTCGCACCCCATTGAATCTGAAAATATATCTCTGCACCTCATTCAAAACTGTGTTTAAATTTTTTTTTTAGTCTAGAAAAATATATTTTTTGCGAAACTTATTGTTTACTGAAGAACATTGTACATTTTATATAAATACAAAACAATATTATTTTTATTAATGACTAGTCTGTTGTTGTTTGTTCATTATTATACTGGAGAAGTGAGGTTCCTTTTTTGAAAGACATATGCGTAAGTCATCACTTGCATTTAAGCGATTTCTCGCTTTAGTTTTTATATGCAAAAGCGATGAAAATCCCATTTCGCACAAGTAGATGGTAGCAAAGGGTAAGAGTAACTGCAGTGCTCCGTTCGCCAACTCTGGATAACGTTGTAACTGTGAACACCAGAATTGTTGCAATTCTAATTGTTCGAATTCCATTTGAACATGTCCACTTGCTCGCATTTCAATAAGTTGATCTTTTTTCAGATCACTATCGTCCACCAAATTTAAGTCAAATAGAAATGGATCCAATATCCATCTCTGAGTTTTGGTAATATTTCCGGTAGAAAAATATCCATTGAATGATTCGCTCAATTGTCACAAATGTATTACAATGTCGGGCATAATTGTATTCTTTTCATTTTTCGCAATAACAGAATCAAGCAAGGGAAAGTTTGCAAAATTTCCCTTTTCTACTTGACGTGTCCAAATTTCTAATTTTGAGATATATGAAGATAATTTTTCACTAGATATTATTATATTTATACCAAATCCTTGCATTGATAGATTCAATTAATTTAAATGGCTAAATATGTCTGCTAAGTAGGCTAGCCTCAGCATTGCATCATTACTCTCAAAATCTTTTACTAAATAACAGTTTTGACTAGTCAGTAATTGAATAATTTTTTCACGCAATTCAAAAACTCTGTTAAACATGTGACCCTTAGATAACCATCGTATTTTGGTGTGATATAGGATCACGGTATGATCAGCACCAATTTCTTCGCAAAATGCACGAAAAATGCGATGATTAAGCGCTCGCCCTCAGATGTATTTTACTACATTTACTGCTGTAATTAGATGTTGTTTTAAACTTTCTGGCAATGCTTTCGACGCAAGTGCATAATGATGCAACATGCAATACGTTATTATAACTTCCAGTAATTCTCTTTTCATGTGTGAAAAAAATCCTGAATTTTTGCCTAACATTGCTGAGGCTCCATCAGTGCATATTGAGCCAATCACATTCATTGGTAATTGATATTTAGTAAAAAATCTTTGATGCCATTGAAAACATCAATTCCTCCTCTCGTATTCACCTCCAGTGGCTCACAAAATAGAAATTCTTCTATCACCTCTTTTTCCTTCACATACCTGACAAATAACAAAAGTTGGCTACAATTATCAACACCAGTTGACTCATCCAGTTGCATGCTTAATTTTAGTGGACTGATTTTTATGTCTTCAATTACTTGCATTAAAATATCTTCACTGAGATCTTGTATTCGCGATCATATAATATCATTCGATAACGGAATCTGTTGGATTTTTTTATGTGCTTCCGAATCTAAAACTGTTTAGCAATAATGAAAGCAGAATGTTTAATCAACTCTTCAGCGATCGTGTGAGGTTTCTTTTTTTCCCACACAAATATTCCACTTGATATGACGCTTCTAATAAATGTTTTTGAATTGCTGGTCCACACAATTTTAGGATAGTTCCATTGTTTAAGACACAAACACACGCCGAATAAGTACTAACTCACAAGTCAAACAACAAAAATCAGTGTTAATTAATAAAAAAATTATCCCCAATTTTATTCAAATCAAATCTAATCAAAAACCTTCCAGTTGCGTTTCAAGAATTCTGTTAAATTGCAAGCTTACCTTACTTAGGTCCATCATAAGGGATACACGCCAACAATTGTCCAAAATTGAACATGAACTCTATAAGCTTCATCTGGAACTCGCTAATTCATATCCAAAATTCACTGCCCTTGAACAAAAGTCTTGGTCTAGAATGGAGAATGCAGTTAACCGTCATAAAAACACCCTTGCAGTTAAATTCGAAAAACTTCTTTTACAGTCTTCCAGTTCAAGTAGTTCAAAAAATCTTCCCATTGTAAACATCAAGCCAATAGTTAATATTTCTAATGTTAGTCTTTCAGAAGAACAAGAGAAAATTCTAAAATATAATTTTAACTTCTCACAAACCTGTAAACCCTCGATTCCAAAGATTTTGGAATCAAAAAAGCTTTTAAGTTTGGTAAAGTTTCAGATTCACAGAAAGAAATGATAAGGCATCTTATCGCTCATAATGTGAAATTCAATAATAAACCTTTGAAATCAAATCTAACTGCAAGAGAAAGAGCTACAATGTGTGAAATTCATTCTAACCCGGATATCATCATTTCAAAGGCCGATAAAGGTGGCCAGATAGTCGTCATAGATAAGAACACTTACATCGATGGTGTCACTAAACTCTTAAACAAAGGACCATATAATCCGATCCCTAAAGATCCTTCACCTTCGGACTTGTCAAAAATAAAAACCGTGATCAAATCTTCACAAATCATTTCAAGCAACTTAAAACATTCGCTTATCCCATCTGTTGCGAATGGTGCCAGATTATATGCTCTTCCCAAAACTCATAAAAGTGGTATTCCTTTTCGCCCTATTGTATCAAATTTAGGTACTGCCTCATATCCCTTAGCTAAATATTTAGTTTCTAGATTTTCAACTCTATTAGACAATAACATTTACACCATAAAAAATTCAATAGAGTTTGTAAAAAAGGTTAAAAACATTTCTCCTAGTAATTTACTCATGGTTTCTTTTGATGTAAAATCATTATTCACCAATGTTCCAGTGGAGGGTGCATTAAGATGTCTAGAAACCAGACTTTGTGAATTTCATTTCTCTTGTATCGAAATTGATGAGCTAATTTCTCTTACACAACTCTGTTTGAAACAAACACATTTTGTTTTCCAAAATAAATACTACAAGCAGACTGAGGGATTAGCCATGGGAAGCCCCCTCAGTCCCAACCTGGCTGATATCTACATGCATTATTATAAATTAAAATTGTTTGAAACTTTAAACTTCCCGGCATGGTTCCGCTACGTAGACGATACTTTTACCCTGTTTGAAGGTAATAAAGATGATTTAAATAAAGTTCTTTCAACAATGAATTCTATTGATCCTGCTATTCAGTTCACTTTTGAACTTGAGACTTGCAATTCTCTTCCGTTTCTCGACATTCTGGTCACATGTAACACCTCCAACTTCAGTACTACAGTTTACCGTAAGCCTTCATCGGTTTGCCTTTCACCACACTTTAAATCATGTCATCCGACTAAACAAAATTTAGCTTCATTTTATTCCTATGTTTTTCGTGCTCTTCAACTTTGCTCCTCCAAACTAGCCCTTGATGAAGAACTAAATTATTTAAAAGCAATAGCTATTGACAGGGGCTTTTCACCCAACATTATTAATCAAGCAGTTAAAAAAAAATTCTCATCTCAACACACTAAAAGGCACACTCTTGTTTTAGGAGATTATAAAAATTCTGTTGTCATTCCCTTCTTTCCATCAATTAGCTATAAAGTTGCACATATTTTGCAGAAATTTAACTTTTGAGTTGTTTATTCTCCCATCAATAAAATTCCGAGTTCCATACTCAAGGACCCCATTCCGGATATGAATTCTTGGGGTATTTATAGGATTCCTTGCCAGTGTGGTTTAATTTACATTGGCCAAACTAAGAGAGCCTTAAAATTTCGCGTCAAGGAACATGAGGCATATGTTAGAAAAGAGGAAACACAGAAGTCTTCTGTTGCTCAACATTGTTGGTCTGAAAATCACACTTTCAATTTTTCTGCTGCCAAAATTATTCAAAAAACATCTTCCATTGGAGAACTGGATTTTCTAGATGCATTTCACATTCAAAAAAATCTTTCTGTTCTTGTTAACGATCCTAATTCCAATCCATCTTTGCCTTTGGCCTTTAAAGAAATTATGTTTTAGTTCTGGTTTCACCAACAGATGGTGCCACTTGCTTATACTTGTCTAGGCTTTCTTATCTTATCTAATCATTATTTCCTATCTTGTTCATTTGCGGTTTTGCAGCTGAGGATGGTGATTCGGTAAAACTATCGAAACTAGTCCTGTGAAAATTTTGAAAATTAACGCTGTTTTTGTTGTTTGACTTGTGAATTAGTTCCATTGGTATCAAACCGAGCCTTCTTTGACTTCAAAAGCTGTTCGTACCATGCGCTTTTTCACCACCATGCAGATTGTTGAAATGCTCTAATAAATTTGATGGTTTGAGATTGCAGTTTGAATATACAGAACACAAGATGCATTGCGGTCGTTGCGTGCCATCTTTTTTGGTTGTGCAGGTAAATCCATAACCGGCATACTTATCGTTCCATTGTCGTTTTTTTTGACATAGTGGGGTTCACTATAATCGATTTAATTATTTAGAAATAATGTAATATAATATATATAATGTTCTTACGTTTGTAATATCACTGAATTCTATTCGTCTTGAACGGGCAATTAAGAATGTATTAGTCTCAAGAAGTTTCTGGACAAGTCAGAATACACAATACGTATGTCGCAGGCGCAATAGTTGACTCAACCTAAAACAGGCACAGTAGATGCAGATATAAATCTGTGAATCCGTAGATTCCATTGGAGTAGCACATATCGAACTCAGCGCATGCGCAAGCTGAGATAACGTTCTCCGCTTGTATTCCCACAAAGTTTTTTTCCGTCACCTAGCTACCTGTTCGCGTTCATTTGTAGCGTTTCATGCCTTTTTGTAGCGTAATGTATACGGCCATCGGCACCAGCTCTTTCCTGTGTCTTTTGCCGATAAGTAAGCTAGGTACTACCAATTTTTATGAGCTTCAATATTGGGGACACTATTGCAGATTTTAAATATTTTATTATAAGAAATTTAATAAATGATATTTAATAATTTTTATAGTTAGGTAGGGGCTTCTCCCGCACCCCCAAAAATACATTCTCACACCCCCGGTTAAGAACCACTGATATATAAGGTTGTGTGAAACGTTACAATACGTTGTTTCTATGTTCTTCAAAGGTCCTTTATTTATACAAATAAAAAGGGTCAGTCAATAGTATATTGCCTGTTTTGTTCCATAAATTTTTACTTTCTATTAATGAGCTTCATAATTCCTCATTCGCAAAAGAGCTTAGTTTTATCAGTGAAAAACTGAATAAGAAGTTAATTTATGGACTTTTCTGAATCAAATGTTATACCATGGAAGACAGTGAAACAAGTGAAAATCTGAAGGCACAAGATCAGGCGAGTATGACATACACCAGCACTTTTCATCCAAACTCCAGTAATTTTTCTCATGTGATCAAACTTGTGTTCAAGTTCCTACCAAGCTCTTGTTTCCAAGCTCCTATCAATAAGCCAACAAATTAGTGTGCTGTCGTCAACTGGACAATTTCTACAAATCCATCTTCCAAAAATTTCCAGAGCTCATTAATATAGGAACTGTATTCCATCCTGATACGACAACACACAAGTTTGATCAACTGACAAAAATTATTGGAGTCTGGATGAAAGTGATACTGTGTGTATCATATGACACCTTGTTCAGCATTTTGCTGATAAAGCTAGGCTCTTTATTAAGTAAGGAATTATGAAGCTCATTAAAAGAAATCAAACAGTTATTGAACAAAACAGCAATGTACTATTGACTGCACACTGTTCTTTATATAAATAAAAGACCTTTGAAGAACACAGAAAAAATGCATCATGACTTTTCAGACAACCAGATAAATAATAAACTAACAAATTACAAACATTAGTAATGTTCTTAAAAGATTGTAAAACATATATATCAATTAAATTTTTTAAAATATAAAAAAATAAATCCTTATTTTGTACTGATTTTAAATGGAAAAATTTGCTGCATTTCAAGAGACAGTATGACATAACCCCCATGCCTGGAACAATATTCCAAAACAGACTTAGCATGAGGGGAGAAAACTCACCCAAACACTGTTACCCATGATTCATCCAACTGGTCACTATTTTTTAAGGCTTCCCTAAAATATAAATAAATAAATAAATAAATATAGATATATGTATGTAAGTAAATAAACAACATGCATATAATTGCCTTTCAAACTACTGACAGGGAGAATCATAATTAAGCAAATATATTTCTTAAAAAAATAAAATAAATGTGGATAAAAATGCTAGCAGGGGGCCATCCTGTCAATCCTGGCAAATAGGCTGTTTGCATGGGATTGAGATTATTCAATTATGGCAAAGCACAAAAGGGCTATCTGCCTAAAGGGAGGGATGCCTTCGTAAAGGACTTTCTAAGGGAAAATGGATCATATACATGTTAAAACCACGAAAACGCCCATGCAGCCAGCCCGTTCACGGGATTCGAACCTCGGACTGAACTACCAGGGTTCAGCATCTTTACCACTCGGCCGCTGGTGGGCCTGCTGTTTGCATGGAGTTTATATGTGTTGGAAAATTAACTCTTCAATAAAGGCACTCTCCTAGAGTTGACAGCCTTAATTCGTTTGCAGTGCTGTAAACCAACCAGATGCAATAAACTTTAGTAAAGGATTTATTTATGTCAAAATACATACAATCACTACCTGCCAAAAAAGGATGCATCTTTTCAAGAGAAAATGATTTGTGTTTCCAATATACAAAACATATTCGAAGAGAAAGCTAAAAAAAATTTGACATATTTTTTTCAGTTATTTAATGTATCAGAATTAATTCATTTCTAGCTTTTCAGAACACTACACATAAGCTAAAAACAATAACTATACTTCTAGAGTAAAGATGTTTGATTAAATATTTGAGAATTTAGAGAGTACTGCTACAGGAAATATTCCAAAATTAAATTTAATAGTAACAGTCATGGAGAGAAGAGGTTAGAAAAATGAGAACTAAAAATAATTTACTGTTCTGAATTTTATTCTTTCTTTTATGATAACTATAATACACAGAGCATTTCCTGCATATCCTAACAAAATGATAAGTCAAAATTCATTTGTATTAAGTGCCTATATGACACATTAATTTTTTAACATGTTCCTAAAATTGAAACAAAAGATAATTTTAATGCATAATAAACAGCGATAAAAGAATATGCAACCAGGAGAAAACAAAAGTATATATATATATATATATAGCTCTACTTTATTATTCATATTAACTTGGGACAATACAATAGTTTGGAGAATCTATGCACATACTTGAATAATGCACACATACATATACATAATTTTTTGACTGAAAAAAAATTCTTTCCCTAGAAGAATCTTGTCTCTTCCAAAATAATTGTTTTTTATGGGTGAAAGTGCCTAATGTCATTTGATATTTTAATTTTCTTTCATCAAACAAATCTTGATATTAGGATATCACATCGATTTTTCTGCTTTTGAAGTTCTTTCAAAATCTGAATTGTTTGATATAAACGGATCTTTAATTCTGATAGTAAGGTTAACCTTATGAATTTTCTGTACTATCAGTTCTTGATGATTTTAATTTATAAGCCCTTTGATAGAAGTCTGCATGACACATCAATAGTCTCTACAATTAGTTACATGTTCTCATCCACTTGTACAGGTTAAGCCGACAATTTTCTCAGCAAAAGACTCTTCTTGCTTTAAATCTTTGCACAGCTTCTCTCATATCTTGTTCCCATATGGATATGAGAACTTGTTCCCATAAGTTCCATCATTTTTGGCTATTTCATTCTTGGTCAGTCTGATGTTGCCTGTAATGTCCATGATATGCTTAACGGTGTGTTTATTTTCCTTTTGTTTGTTGTATTTTCCATCATTCCATAATAAACAAACTTAAATATATATACAGTCAAAAGTCTTCAATCCGGACGCTCATAATCCGGACCTCAAAGCTACAAACTTTCTGCACATGCATTTGCATAATACCTTTATGCATGCGCATAATACGTTTACACATGCGCATTTAATGTATAACAGACGGTAAAAGCTAAGCTAAAATTATCTAATTATCTATTTCAGTTAATGTTGCAGATTGCGTTGTTCCTTAATCTTCTAATTGGATCCGACTTATTATTTTTGCAGACTGTTTGAGCAATTTTATAAAAGTAAGCTTAAACTTTCGATTATGTCAAAAAGAATTTCCTGGGGGGGTGGGGCAATGAACCGGAAGTTGATCTGTCAGCACTATCCTTATCTTCAGGGCAGATGTTTATTTGTTAGAATTTCCGATGCTGGAGCTCCCAAAGGATCTACAAAGCGAAAGTATGTTTCGGTGTCCATCAAACAAAAAGTGGAATTGCTGCAAAAAATGGATAAAGGCATATCCTTTGTTTCTCTAACTATTCCAAAATCTGTTTATCAATTTCACACTGCTCTGCAGGGGGGGGGGGGGGGTTGTCGCAGCGCGCAATGAATTGAAAGTTGATCTGTCAGCACTATCCTTATCTTCAGGTCAGATATTTTTATTTTATTTGGCTTATAATTCCTTACTAAATGTAGTATTTCATCTCGATGTACTCCATCTTTGATATGATTTTAATCAAATTCCTCATCATTATAAATATCATGAATACACATCAAATTGTTTTCTGGTTGCAATTTCCTAATTTCGACTATGCATAATGTATGCTTTACGCATGCGTGCATTGAAAGAAATGTTTAATAAAATAAACAAATAAATATTAAGCTTTTTTTTTTTTTTTGTAAATTTTGATATCCTTTAGATCATAATTGTTCTTTATTTCATAAATTACGGTTTCATATTTTTAATTTTATAATTTTTGCATGTCACCTTACCAGATTTAAACTGATTATCTATAATCCGGAAAAACCGATAATCCGAAATGGCCTGATGAGTCCGGATTAAAGACTTTTGACTATATATATATATATATATATCAGTTAAATGAGCGCTATATATATATAGCGCCCATTTAACTGATAGTTAACTATACTGAAGCAATTTTTGAATCTGCACTTATAGTTTTTCTGTTAATTCTTTAATTCTACGGAAGTTGTTTTGCTTTCTGAATCTATCAATTCAGCCTTTGGTAGCAGCAAAATTTTCACTTGGACTATCCTTTTCTTTTGAATAGGATTAAAAGTGCTTCTTTTTACATTTTTGATGATTATTACCTGATTCAATGGTATACTGCATCTGGTTTCACTGTCAATCCAAATGGTAAATTAATTTTCTCTTTCCTTTAAAATACCACTTCTGTTTTGAGTTACTTTTATTTACAGGGATTTCATGATTGTATTTGATGATTTCGCCATTTTGCACTAATTCTTTATCATTATTAACATTTATATTGCAGCAACAATAATAAATTAAATGCACAATAAAATAGAGGTTACCTCTCCTTTAGTGTACATTTAGTTTTATAAACTTCATAAGCAGTGACTTTGAAAAAATGGAATATTGTCAATTGCTAAATTTTTAATCCCTAATTAGAGGTTTTGACTGACATTCATACTTTATAAAAAGATAAATAAGATAAATGCAATTTAGTTCTAGTTTTTCCAACAGAGACAACTTGATTAAAAAAGTATTACATTCCTTACTCTTTTACTGTTATTCAGTTCAACAGCTGCAAGATTGCTTTATATATCAGAATTAATACAGTATTTTACCAGAAAGTTTTTAAATTTTGGTGCAATCTCATTGTATTAAATTACCCTGATGTATAAGAATTTAAAAATCCATTCTGGCTGCATGGGCAATTTCGTTATTCTACAAATGTGTAACATGAACAAAAGCTAGTCCTTCTTGAAGGCATCTTACCTTGAAATGTTCTTTTCCTAACAGGGGTCGAGTGGTTAAGACAGCTGAATCCTGGTAATTTGATCCCAGGTGTACGGGCTGGCTACATGGTTGTTTTCCTCCATTCTATAATGTGAATATGAGCCAGTTTCCACTCAAAAGTCCTCTACGAAGCACCTCTCCCTTTATACAAACAGCTCTCATGAGCTCTATTGTATTTCAGTAACCTAGCCCTTCTAAGAGTCAGAACAATGCCTTTTTTTAAATATGACTCCTGATGGTTCAAAAATTGCAAGTTTTTAACCCATTATCGTAAAAGATATGCATCGGTTAATTCATGTCAAAATTGACAGAATTAAAATCTACATGAATTCGAGTTCTTCACTCATTCATTCTAAGTTTTAGAGAGTTTTTACTGCACGTATAATTATTCCAGTATGGCTAACACTTTAGGTAGAGAATAAGCTCTGTTACATTCTATATATAGAATGCTTCTTTATTCACTTTCTCCAGAATATTTATATTTTAATGTTTCATGAATGTGACTGGAAGATGTTTGCATTTTGCATTATGAAAGCAGAGATACTATCACCAGATTTTCAAAATTAAATACAATTCATACCATGTAAAATCTAAATACCATTCAAAATTAATATATAAATGAAATTACGTACTAATTTTGCAACATAATAAGGAACTCAAGTTTTTAAGCACTGTTGCATATTTAAGAATATAAATTAAGGATATTTCAATTTTTAATGTATTTTTTATATATGAAACTATGGAAAATGATACAGACCAAATGCATATGAATCATATTGATCATTTCATTCAAAACTGTAGTACAAATGAAACTGAAATAGTTAAATAATGGCATTAAAATTGGTTGTTAATTAAGAGTTGTTAAGGTTGTAACCATATAATAAAATAATATCTTACCATGCAAAAAAAAAAAAAAAAAAAAAAAAAGAAGAGTTTGCTTTAAATTAAATAATTATAATTTTACAAAATATTAATTTTTTAATTAACATTTTAAGAATTAAAACTGAGACAATTAAAATTTTCCTGATAGAAAGGGTTCTTCTATTAGAGATTTTGGTACAGCTTTGAATAAAATTCAATTTTACAGCTCTCTATCTTCAGCGTTTCAGAGACAGAAAATGAATTCAAGAGGGGAGGGACTTTTTTGCTGGAGGCAAAACTGCTTTGAGATATTCCGTGTCAGTGTTGCCAGATCGTGCGATTTTTTGCAAATTTGCGACTTTTGACAAAGTTGTGCTAATAAAATTTAACTATTTGCGATTTTGCAAAATTTTTGCGACATCCATAATTTCCTAATGCTATTTTTTGCAACTTCAAAGATTTTCTTAATATATCTTAAAATGCTTATATGTTAAATAATGTATCAATTAAAAATATTTTTTTTTGAAAAAAAAAGTTTATTTATTAAATAGAAGTTGACATGTGACAGTACAGTTTACATGTTCTGTGCTTTCCTTTTCAAAGCTGCACAGCCTGACACTGGTAGGGGGAAGGTGGAAAAAGTGTAAAAGAAGAAAATAAAAATTTTTCGGCACCTTCTTACCTACCCCTTTCGTCTCAGTCCTCCCCCCCCAGTTCTATGGTGATAACGAATTGAACAAAAGAACTTGTAGCTTGCCCGCCATATACTCGTTACCCAAACAGAGAAAGAAATGAAATTCATTCTCCTGATTAATAATATTGCTAACAACTAAGCAACAGAAATGATTTAAAAATTTTAAAAAATATGTTTTTCTAAACAACAACAAATAAATTTAACAGTGAAAAACCAAGGCTTTTTTAAGTAATCTGAATCTGAAATAAGTCCACCACGCAGAACAGAAAACTCACTGAGAAAACATTTCTCAATTAAAATGTTCACAATTAAGAAAAAAAAATTGAATAAAAAAAATTAACAGCCAACTCAAATTTAAGTGCTAACAATCTAAATGCGAGGAATCTCTTACGAATGGATATACACAAATTAATTTAAAAATAGAAACCTAAATTAGATGAGAAATAATTTAAAAAGAAATAGATATTTAGACAACTGAAAGTGAGCAATATAGTTTTAAAATTTTTGTTATAACTAAGATACGTAATTAAAAAGACTAAGAATAGATACAGTCTGTAATTTACGGGGCAGACAGACAGTACATTTGTGATGATGTCAGAGATCATGTGAGCAATTTGTAATGTCATGCTCACATGACATTACAAAAATCACGTGATCTCTGACATCATTTGCGACTTTTTTAGTCATAATTTAGTTGAAAACTTTCTGGCAACACTGTTCTGAGTGTTGGAGGCTAGACAGTTTTGAGGACAAAGGTTGGAACTTTGGTGAACTGTTTTCATCTGCTTTCTTTGTCAGGGTGAAAACTGGCAGTGAGTTACATAATTTATATTTTTCACTTGTACTATTCATGCTGAAGTAAAGTAATTAAAATTTCTTTGTAAAACTATGATCATATACTTCGTTGGTAAAACTCAAATACAGTTTAACAAAAATAGAATAATTTTAAAATCGGTCGGAATTCTGCATTTTTCTGATGGGATAATGGGCTGATTATATGACTTTTGTAATCTTCATTGTAATGAATAAGTTTTCCATAAAAGTATAACTTTTAAGGAAAATATCTTCAAACTTTCCCTCATGAGCGATGCCTTCTTTGATAAGTTACAACACAGAAAATATAAAATATTTACAATGTACAGACATAATGATTTTTTGGAAGCAGAAGAAATGAAAAATTTACAACGCCTTCACCTGGAATAGAACCACGGATCTCTCAATTATCCGCTGAGCATGCAGACCACCACACCACGAAGGCATGTTAAGAAGGCAGAAGAAATACCTTATAACCAGATTTCAAAGAGCATCTTTAGATTGATATTATACTATAAAATGCATTACAGGTATTTCATCAATAAATACATTTCTGAAGCAGACAAAAAATTCCTAGTCTATTTACAATATTGGTTATCTTATTTTAAGTTGTATATTAGTTTATTGTTACTTCCAATCCCATAAAATAATATTCGAACCACAAACAGAAAATTCTGATTAGAACAAAATTTAAAACTCAAACTTATTTGCCTATCATATCAATCTATCATATTTTAGAGTAAATCTAGCAATGTCATTACTTGCTTCTCCTGGTTTCAGTCACTGAGAGCTGAAGAACTGGACCTTTGATGTTGCATTCATGCTTCATTTTTAAAAACAAAATTCAGAAAAATTTGAACCATAGAAGGAAACTTACTTGTTCCCTAATAAAAGCTCAAATGATTAATTACAAATACACAGGAATTAGCTCTGAACAAAGGTTAAGTTTAAAATTTCAGTGATGCATTCAGTTTAGAAAGGGGAGGAAAGCTGAATTTGCCCACTGCACTGGAATAAGTCATGCTGGTGGGTTGATATACGAGATATAAATGCACAAATGAAAGAGGAAGCATTTCAGATTTTTAATACTAGAGGTTGTTATGGATCGATTGCTAGATATATCACGATTCACAAATTTACTGCTATTTTATTCACTTCAATACAAAACACATATTAGATGCAGACGGATATTGTTTATTGTTGTTAAATGACTTGCCTTTGTTTCTTCCTCCTCCTGTTTCTGTTAATACCTTCAAACTAAAAACACAGATGCTAAATTTTTCTTAAAAATTAGATAAGATTGTTTACCAATCCAAAATCTAAAAGTTTATGATTTGAAAATGCACTGAAAATGTAGGGCTGTTATGCAGAATTAGCTGCAAAATTCATTATTAAAAATAATTTCATGACTAACTAAATTCTTATGTCAAACTGCAAATGAATAAAAAATTTCATAAACCTGAAAGCTTGATTTAAGAGCTGGAAGATGTCCGATCTGAATAAAATCAGTAGTTTAAAATAACATCTACACCACGTGCCTTTCCGAAGTTATGATGAATTAACATTAAATAGCCTTGATCTACCTGAATTTTAAACAATAAACAATTGAACTGCAGTTTTCAGATACATACATTTAAAGAAGTATTAAAAAAATTATATTTATGCATGTTTCAATTTAGATTTCAGTTTCTTCTTAACAGTAGCACATAATTAGTAAAACAGACAGATGACAAATAGTATTAGACAGTTTTAATTATTATAAATAATTGCAATACATATTAAAATGGATTTTGGTTTGGTTTAGTTAAAGCCTACCTTGGCTATCTGCCTTAGGGGAGGGATGCCTTTGTGGAGGACTTCCTAAGGAAAAATGGTTCATATACATGTTACACATGAGGAAATCTGTAAAAACATCCATCTGTTTGCCTGGAATTGAACCCAAGTCAGAACTACCAGTATTCAGCGTTTTTACCATCGGGTGCTGGTGGGCCATATTAAAATGGTAACCACATTAATATCACATAATTCAAATTCTTGTGCTATCACACAGAATGCCACAAATATTTTTTTCAGAGAATTTTCACTAAAAATCTGCAGTAGTTTTTCTTAATATATGAATTTAATTTTAAATACATAGCAGTTTAAATACACGAATAAAAAATACTTATTACTTTTATACCTACCCTTGGGTGAAAAATGGATCTATCTGAGCAGGTGACATGTGTGAATTACTATTCAGACAAAATGATTTACTAGGTGTTAATATACTATCATTGTTAACAGTTTCAGTATCTGAAATAAAAAGCATAAAAATTAAGCACAGAGTGACATAAAAAATTTATGAACTATAATAAATCAAATACCTTTATGTACATAAACATATTAGAAGTAAATATTACTTGGTCTTCCTGGTGTCTTTGGAGTTGTGTCAAACTGCAAAGTAAAGATTATTCATTTATAAATGCTTATTAATTAATAGATAAAAAAAAATTTACTGTTTATTTTTATTATAACTTTGAAATAAAAATATTTTAAAATTTTCAAGTATTAACTAGAAAATGACTTCAGCCTTTTCACTCAAAACAAAGTCTAAACTTGGAATAATAGGCTATATCAGATGAAAATACACATATCCATTAACTTACAAAAGAAGATTTTCTTACAATTAATGCTTGAAATAATATATATATGTGTGTGTGTAAGGTAAAAAATATATATTAATCAAAATTAGGTACTGTTCTGTTATCAGGAATGGGTTCAGAAATGTATGTTATGTACTAGCCTTCGTCTGGCTTTTAAATGTACCGGAAAAACGGCTGAAGGGAACACCAAACGTTAAAATTTAAAAACTGCGTAGAATTTTACTCTGCAGAGCAACTTCATAAAAAATGTTATTACGTATAACAAAATTACAATGAAATAAGCAATATCCCTTAATACAAATATTAATTATCCTAATAAATAAATTAACCAACTTCCCTTTGCAAACTTGTAAGAACTCAAATGGTATAAAGGAGGTTAAGAACTTTGTTTCCTAAAAAAATCACTCAACACTTTTCAATATCTTAAAAACAGTGAAATGAGAAATAAAAAACATAAAAGAATACAAAAAACAAAAAATTCTAAAAAGGAAAGTATAATTAATGATATTTTATCATATATTTTCCACGAGAAAAAAATTACAATGAAATAAGCTATATCACTTAAAAATTTTATTAATTATCCTAATAAAAAAATTAACCAACTTTCCGTTGAAGGAAAAAAATCATGGAAAACTTTTCAATATCTAACAAACAGTGAAATAAGCAAAAAATGACATGAAAGCAACTAAAAAAACATAAAATTCTGCGCAGAATTTTACTCTACAGAACAAGTTAATAAAAAAAATCAATAAACATGTATTATATATATAAAAAAATCTGATGTGTACACCACATGACTTCCCTGTATGGAATATTAAATTATACGCATTTGTTTCTTGCATTTCTTTTAAACTTAATGGATTTAATTAAATCTACTTCGCTGACAGCAATAGAATAAAGGCATTCTTTAAAAATTCACTCTATTTGTTTAACATAGCGACACTCTGGCACTAGGTTCACTTAACAGTATTATATTTCATTCATATTATAACTCAGAATGCACAAAAAGTATATCATCATTTTAAAAAACTATCTAATCGTTGCCACATGTTCTTTTCAAATACTATAATAAAGCTGAACAATGTAAAAAAGAATTAAGCAAACAAACAAAAAAAAACAAAAAAAAAAAAAAAAAAAAAAATTTTTTTTCACAGACGATTGAGTATTTCTCATTCAATTAATTCAGTTTTCACTTGCGACAAGACAAAATACATAAAAGCTCAAAAATCTGTATTAAAAATTACTAATTATTAAAAATTAAGTAAATCTTAAAACACTTATTTCCTCGAAAAAATTCCAGAAAGAATTAAGCATGATTTAATTCGCAATAATAAATGAAGGCGTTATTTTTGTTGTTGTGAAGCTTAGTCTCTCTAGATTGGCAACAAATGTACAATTCTGCTGTTTCAAATGTAAACAAATATGTCTGCCATGTTATTTAAAACTTAAACACACTTAAACAGCTTTTAAATTGTTGATAATTGTACAAATATTGCTTCCAGAATTACGAAAGGCATACCCTTAACCGGAAGATAAGAACAACATAATTCAATCATTTTTAAAGCAAAAAATGTACAATTTACAAACATATAAGAGTAAAGAAACTGAGATCACTGAGCCAGGTAATAGAGTGGATATATATATAAATATAGTATTTATATACGTTTGGTGCGGCCGATTGCAACCAAAATATGAGGTGCACATCTGCATGTTATAGCAGTCCTATATACAAAATTTCAACGTCCTGAGGCTACTCGTTTTTGAGTTATGCGAGATACGTACGCACGCACGTATGTACATATGTTCGTACAGACTCCACGAAAAATTCTCTTCAGAATTAATTTTAAAGCAGTTTTATAATTTTTTTGGAGGAAACGAATCTTTTATTCTGTCCTTACGTACAGATTCACGCAAAAACATTGTTAAATTGCATTCGATAGCGGTCAAAATGGATATTTTCGTTGAAATATGCTGCCGGAAACTTTTCGCGATTACAATACTTCCTTTTTACTTCGTACAAGGAAGTAAAAAATGACAATAGGCTATATCAGATGAAATGTGCAATCTCTTAAAAACAGTGACATAAGAAACACGATGAAAAATTGTTGCCAAATTTATATTTCTAAAAGAATGAAACTATTCAAAATGATGCGATTTCATCAAAAATCTATCAACAAACATATGATGGGAAAATTGTTGCCAAAATCACATTTTTAAAGATGTGAGATGTGGACTCTGAAGCTTCATTTAAAAAAATCTTTTAAGGATACAAAATATTATCATTTTTCCAAAATTCTTTTTGTAAAAGCAGTCGCAAGGATGAAAGTTTAATGTGTCCAAAAATCAAAGAAAAATAAACTGTACATTTTTAAAAATAAGCTTTTTTAGAAAAATTCCCGTTGAAAAGGTGTTATGCTCCCTTTGTTAAATACATTCGTATTTAAACGATTTATTGAAACAAGAAATTTATTTTAAGTTCGTAAAATAACTTGTGAAAATGGAGTGTATAGAGTAAAATCTCGCTTTCCTATAGCCCATTATGTGTCAAAATGACGCGATTTCGTCACAAAACATAAAATTAAAAAAATTCAAATTCGAATTTCGAAAAAATCACTTCGAGGTGCACTGGCTCTTGTCTAGATGTACCTATGTACCAAATTTCGTAGCAGTGGGTCTATTAGCTTACGCGCAGCGCGAACGAAAGACACACACACAGACAGACAGACTCTTTGTTTTATTATACGTAGAGATGTATGTATGTGTTCATGTATGCATGTATATAGGTACACGAGTATGTACGCTTGTGCATACATGTTCATACATACACTTCTGAAGCTGGTCCTGATAACAGAAGACTACCTAAAATTATTACAGTCAAAAATCATTAATCCGGACTCGTCGGGACTTCGGCGATTCCGGATTATTGATTTTTCCGGATTATAGATCATCAGTTTAAATCTGGTAAAATGGCATGCAGAAATAATAAAAGTAAAAATATGAAACCGTAATTTACGAAATAAAGAACAATTATGATCTAAAGGGTATCAAAATTGACAAAAAAAAAAAAAAAGCTTAATATTTATTTGTTTACTTTATTAAACATTTCTTTCAATGTAAGTTGTTTCAGTTGCTTCGTTTTTTATGTGATAATACATTCTCTTTAATTCTATAAACAGACATAATTTCCTGTTCAGTTACAAAGTTCCGCTGTTCAAGTCCTATAATTGCTGTATCCAGAATACCGACTAATTTCTCAATCGAAATTTTTTCGTTTTCAATAACCTATGTCCCTTTTCTTCGCTATCGGAAGCGAATTATAATGACGAGGCGAGGCATTTGATTTAAATCATATCAAAGACAGAGTACATTGAGATGAAATACTACACTGAGTAAGCAATTATAAGCCAAAAAAATAAAAACATCTGCCCTTAAGATAAGGATAGTGCTGATAAATCAACTTCCAATTCATTGCACACGGCCGCGGCGTTAAAGTAAAGATAACAAAGTTTAGATAACAAACGTTTAAGTTTAGATAAACAAAGAATATGCCTTTATCCTTTATTCCTTTTTTGCAGCAATTCCATTTTTTGTTTTAATGGACTCCGAAAGATACTTTCGCTTTGTATATCCTTTACATATTAGTAAATATATATCGGAAATTCTATTTGACATAATCGAAAGTTTCAAGCTTACTTTTATAAAATTGCTCTAACAGTCTGCAAAAAATAATAATCCGGATCCAATTCGAAGATTAAGGAACAACGCAATCTGCAACATTAACTGAAATAGATAATTAGATAATTTTAGCTTAGCTTATCCCGTTCGTTATAAATTAAACGCGCATTCATAAACGTATTTTGCGCATGCGCACACGCAAATTTGCAGCGGTAAAGGTCTTACGCGCATGCGTCAACGCTACGCATGCGCAGAAAGTTTGTAGCTTTGAGGTCCAGATTATAGATCATTCCGGATTATGGGTGTCCGAATTAACGACTTTTGACTGTATAACTTAAATGAGCATTAGCCCCTTAATTCTTCGTTTTAATTTGGGTATTTTCCCTATCTATTCTAAAAATAGTAATTGCTTTGTATCTTATTTTAAACCAACCAGTTATTATGGTTTGGATCTGCACTTTAAATTCTTCTTTCCATATTCCTTACCAGGATGCAAAATTGTTTATTTATGTTTTTAAGCTGTGATTTTTGGATCTTGAGAAAGTTTCTGGCACTGCGCATGACGTGTTTAGATTCTGCCAGCTCTAGTTAAATGCAATTATCTTGCCTTTGTGTTCTCTCGATGCCGATATTTTAATCTGAAGCACTGGCAATTTACTGAGCCAGCTTATAAATCAGTACTTAATTGTGTAGTCTTCAATTACTGAACAAAGTTTGATTTGAAATGGCTGTACACTCAAAGTTATGTTTAAATAAAAAGTTGTTTTATAACCTTCCTAGGATTCTAATGTTCTATCTCAGACATAGTGATAACTCATTCAGAAGTCAAACAACAAAAATCAGTGTTATATTTTCAAAATTTTCACAGGACTAATTTCGATGGTTTTACCAAACCACCATCCTCAGCTGCAAAACCGCAAATTTGCAGTGTGTGAAAATTTCATTGGTTTGTTCCACATCTGTACTACGAAATGTGGGCATTTTGAAAAACTTATGATGTGATTTCAACAATGGATTGCATACAGTGAATGGACAAAAATATGGAAACACCTTGTGAAATGCATGTTTGAAAAGAAAGATGGATTTTAATGAAATATGTAGGTGGCGCTGGCGTTTTTGACTACTGACGCCACCTATACAACTTCGTAAATGTGCTAAACAGTTCAGTTGTTGTCGGAGTACTGTTATGTGAGGTTGTCATTGCATTATGTCAGAGTTAACAGACTTCGAACGTGGGCAAATTGTTGGAGCACGTATGGTAGGTGCTTCCGTAAGCAAGGTAGCCGAGTGTTTAGTGTTTCAAGAGGTACTGTATCGAAGATTTATTCCGTATATTTGAAAAGCGGAAAAACATCATCTGCTAAATCACAGCGCAGACGAAAGTGTGTCCTGAGCGATCGTGACAGACGATCATTAAGGGCAATTGTGACGAAAAATAAGAAGACCACAGCTGCAAAAGTTACTGCTGAAATGAATGTTGTGTTACCGAACCCTGTGAGTACCAAAACAATTAGAAGGGAGCTTCATAAACAGGGAATTGCTGGCCGTACTGCAATTGAGAAGCCACTCATCAGTGATGCTAATGCCCGTAACAGGAAAAGGTGGTGTTTAAGTCATAAAGCCTGGACTATAGAGCAGTGGAAGCGAATAATATGGTCTGACGAGTCTTCTTTCACATTGTTTCCCACTTCTGGCCGAGTTTACGTCTGGAGAACGCCATCTCAAGCCTATAATACAGACTGCTTGTTGCCAAGAGTGAAACATGGCGGGGGTTCTGTTATGGTTTGGGCAGCATATCGTGGTTCTCTGCTAGCCCCACGATAACTGTGTCAGGGCACATGACTGCCAAGACTTATGTGAACATTTTGGCCGATCAAGTTCATCCCATGGTACAAACTTTTTTCCCCGATGGTGATGGTGTCTTCCAAGACGACAAAGCCCCCTGTTCACGCAGCTCACATTGTCCAGGACTGGTTTTCTGAGCACGAGGATGAGTTGTCCCATCTCCCCTGGCCACCACAGTCACCCAACCTGAATATTATCTACCTTTGTGGTCTACAGTGGAACGGAAAGTGCGTTCTCGTTATCCACCGCCAACATCGTTATCTGAACTTGCCACTGTTTTGCAGGAAGAATGGTATAATATTCCCTTGGCAAACAGACAGGAACTGTATTTATCCATTCCGAGAAGACTGCAAGCTGTTTTGGATGCCAACGGGTTTCCTACACCATATTAAGCAAAGAAACATGTTTTTTTAAAGGTGTTTCCATATTTTTGTCCAACTCCTGTAGGACACCTTTGTTACATTTTCTAGAATGTACTGTGACTATAGTGCCACCTATTGGCAACTTTTGTAACTAAATGTGAAACTTCTGTATCAGATTTTTACAGCTGTCCAAATAAACATATCTTTTGTTTCACTCTTCTATCAATCTTTGTTTTTGATTTATTTAATTTTGAAAACAGGGGACCTTTGTGGGACACCCTGTATATAATTTCTTTGGATATACAGTGGCAGACAAAAGAAAAAAAAAAGATTTACCTAAAGAAATAAGACATTTTGTAATGTTAACATAAAAATATCTTAGCTGCTGTAAAGCAAAATATAAGATTATTCCTCATTCATATTGCATCATTCAATTTCTATAAAGAGTGCAGCAAAAACGGTTTGCGTCATTTAAGCAATAAAAGAATGGCTCCGTATGTTCAAGTGATGCAATGGAAATGTATAGCAATTGATTCAGTTAATGAAGTACTTACGATCACTAAAAAAATTGAGTGCAATTATTGACAGTCTGAAGAGTGATTAAATCGGAGTGTGAAACTGGTGATATTGAGAGAAATGCTAGATGCCCAGCAATGGGAAAAGGGGTGCATGGGGTGAAAAACAGTTGAGAGTCACAGTCTTAGAACCTTACGTAAGACTTTTCAGAGATGCATATGGATGACAATGCTCATCCACATCAAGTAAACCTCGTTGACAAATTTCTTGAGAGTGAAGATACAGAGCGAATACTGTGGCCAGCAAAATTCCCTCATCTTAATCTGATACAGGACCTATGAGACTATTTTTCCCTGGCATACGACTTGGTTTGGGATTCACACCCAGGCACTATGGCATATGCCTTGCTACCCACACATTGTCCAGAGTGGACAATATCCCTGAGAAAGCACATGAAAAATTTCAGATATCCCCCAAAATATTAAATAGATTTATCGTTAACACCACACAAAATAAACACTTAAACAACACATTTTACATTACCATATTTACCTGTGTAATATGGAAAGATGAAGCAGGGGTAGTACTTGTATATAAAAGACCTTGCACAGGAGGTCCTCCACTTTTACCAGCAGTTGGTGTATTTATTAAGGATCTAAATCAAAGATGAGTTTCTTTATGATTAGTGAAATTATTTGGAAAAATGGATCTTAATATAACAAAGTATATCGAGTAGTTACTTGATGAAAAATATAAATCTAATAATTTTACCAGTAGTCTATACTGGCATGCAGCATACTTAAGTCGAAGAGCATTACAAAAAATACTCCTTAATTAAAGCTTGGGAAGTATTAATTTTTAAAAAAATTGTAAAAAAAAAAAAAAAAAAAAAAAAAAAAAAGAGGGGGGGGCTGTTAATTAAATTAGAAACATGAAAATCTTTCTATACAGCTAGCAACAGAAATCATTTTTATCATCCCAAGGAAATTTTTATTTTATTATTAAAATACACTAAGACACTTTTATAGAACTTATTAAGTAGAAATTTAAATCATTAAAAACGCATTGCGAAAACAATTTTAAAATAGTTTAAAAGTAATATTTACTGATGCACAAATTTACAGAGGGTGTTTACACATTTTTAGAATGATTTCAATAAAGAATTCAGAAGAAGTAATTGCTTTAGAAAAATAATTTCTGGAAACAGCTTCTTATTTAAAATGAAAAAGATCATCTGCTACTTTTATATTTGCTATTATTTAAAATACCACATGTAAACAAAAAAATTGAGTGCAATTGATGGATATATTTCTGTGGATTGAAGGATATATTTCTGATTCTTCCAAAGAGAAATATTTTTATTCTATAATTCAAAAAATCTGATGCCACCACATGACTTACTTGTACGGAATATTAAATTATATGCATTTTTTCTTGCATTTTATTTAAACTTATTAGATTGAATTAAACCTACTTCGCCGACAGCGCATAAACCACAATAGAAAAATGCATTCTTTAAAATTCACTTTGTTTACCATAGCGACACTCTGGCGCTAGGTTTACTTAACAGTATTATATTTCATTCATATTATAACTCAGAATGCACAAAATGTATATCATTTAAAGAATTATCTAATCTTTGCCACATGTTCTATTCAAATACTATAATAAAGCTAGAACTATGTATAAAAGAAATTAAGCAAATAAAACCAAAAAGAAACAGTTTTTTCACAGACGATTGAGTATTTCTCATTTAATTAATTCAGTTCTTACTTCGCGAGAAGGCAAAAAACACATAAAAACTCAAAAATATCTATATTAAAAATTACGAAGTAAATGTCAAACGCTTATTTCCTCGAAAAAATTCAGAAAGAAAGAATTAAGCATGATTTAATTGGCAATAATAAATGAATGTGTTATCTTTGTTGTTGCGAAGCTAAGTTTCTCTAGATTGGCAACAAATCCACTAGTCTCCTGTCTCAAATGTAAACATCAATGGCCGCCATTAAAACAGGCTTAGCGGCAATTAAACAACTTTAAAATTGCTGATAATTCTAAAAATTGCACACAGATTTACTAAAGGCATAAAATCCTTAACCGTAAGATAAAAACAACATAATTCAGTCATTTTTAAAGCAAAAAATGTACAATTTACAAACATATAAGAGTAAAGAAACTGAGATCACTGAGCCAGGTAATAGAGTGGATATATATATAAATATATTTATATACGTTTGGTGCGGCCGATTGCAACCAAAATACGAGGTGCACATCTACATGTTATAGCAGTCCTATATACAAAATTTCAACGTCCTGAGGCTACTCGTTTTTGAGTTATGCGAGATACGTACGCATGCACGTACGTACATACGTTCGTACAGACTCCACGAAAAATTCTCTTCAGAATTAATTTTAAAGCAGTTTTATAATTTTTTTGAAGGAAAAGAGTATTTTATTCTGTCCTTACGTACAGATATGATGCAAAAACATCGTTAAATTGCATTCGATAGCGGTCAAAATGGATATTTTCGTTGAAATATGCTGCCTGAAACTTTTCGCGATTACAATACTTCTTTTTTACTTCGTACAAGGAAGTAAAAACATTGCAAAATGCATGGTATGACAATTTCTAAGTACAAAATAAAGAACATTATTAACCGGAAAGGGGGAAAACCATCAATCTTGAACATGAACTTCTACATGAAAAGATGATTAATAAATACCCGAAAAAGTACATAACATTCCTAATTTTTCTAAGGTTATACCACTGTATTCCTTGAAAAAATGAAGACTGATGCAGATACTGCATATATACCTGTTTCAAAATATTACTGGAAAGTCCATTAATATGTTGAAAACGTATATATGCATAACCTGAAGATACAGAATATTATGCTTTGGGTCTCTTGAAAAGAGCTCTTTCTAAGCACAAACCCATCCCAATTGATAAACTCTGAAAAACAGTGGAAGAGAAATGCAAATCCATAACCCTGAAAGCTTTATGAAAAGTCCTTCTATCACAGAAACCACGATGCAAACTTATAGTCCAGAAAAAGGACTCTCGTCAAACAATTAAAAAAATATTCTTTGCATTTTAAACATTAATTAAACAGCATAAAAATCCTTCTAAAATGTTTTAAAAATATCACTTTCTGTACATATATGTGCAAGAATCCCAAGTAGCACGGTAACGTCATAACGACATTGCAAACTGGTCGCAGATGTCGTTGCAAAAACGTTGCAATATGTCGTCTTTAAGATGCCCAGATGTCAGTGAAACTCCACTGTTTTCTAACCGTTGCAAAGACGTGTTTATTACGTCTTTGAAGATAAGGTTCATGTTGAATAGATGTCGTTATTGCGTCTTCCTCACATTATATTTCGGTTGTGAAAGCATCGTATCACGACGTCTTGACGCCGTCTAAATGTTTGCAAAATTCCACCTTTTTGCAACAGTTGTGAAAATGTCGTTATGACGTCCTTGTGTTACATATTGATTTATGCAGAAAAATAAGCTTAATAATTAATGTATTTTTCTTATTTTTTTTTAAATTTTGTATTCCTTGTATTTTTCCAAACTTTCAATATTTTATCATTACCTGAAAACCATAAGATAATACAATTTTTTCTCTTTAGACTAAATATGCATAATTAATAATAACCTTAATTATTTTCAGTACTTTTTAAACTATATTTTTTTAAATAACTTAAAATTTTTACTAAATTACTTTAGATTTCCCCATTTTTTTTTTCTTAATCCTTTAGTATGTAAGTGAGAGTAATTATGAAAATGGTTATTATAAATATATAATAATAATAGTACGTTTTAAGTAAATAAAACTCAATCAGACATAAATAAGAGTAAAGATATATATGTGAATAAAGAAAAGAGCGTTTCTGGTTATAACAACATTATCACATTTATTTCTGTTAAATCTCAGAGGCACTGAAAATTGCCCGTCATGATAAATTAGGAAGCCGTTACATAATCAGTATTTTACCTGAACTCAAGTATAAATTAATTCGCGTTTCACAGTAAAAAATATAACCATTAACTTCTATATCTCCAAGATATACATATGAAAGACAGTATAAAGTAGTTAATAAATGTGATCAAAATATTTTATACAAAAATATACCTAAATCTAATAACTTCCTATATTCATATCTAATATGAAATAATAACCTAACAAAACAACATACATGACAGCACTATTTAAGAAAAACATGAACTAGTAGTGTTTGAAAATATAAATAGCAGAAGGAAGGTAACAGAACTAAAATTTCCAATTAATAAAAAAAAGTTGTGTTTTTTTAAATAGCAAGCAATTAAAAGTGCAATAATTAAGAGTGCAATATTATATATTTACCAGTAATGCTGATGTTTCTTAACACCATTTCTTTCAATCATATATTAATGTATTTACTTATTTTTAGTTTTCTACATTTTAGAATAATGGTAGATTACAATGATTACTTCATGCACTTTTTATAATCAATAACTTTCCTTCAGTTACTGTACAGAAATAATTTAAATAATATAGTATACAATAGTAAGCTCTTCGTTAAATAGTACACAATGAAACTTTTTGTTTCTATATATTATGAATTTCTTTTTATCACAAGTACATAAAAAGTAAATGAAAAAATAGAGTATACTTAAATTTAATAAATTATAAAACCCGATTTCCAACATTCATTTATTGAGATAACTTAATAAGCATACATAATGGCAATATTTAACAAAACGTGACTTACACAGTGTTTGGAAGAATAGATAACAAGCGAAAAGTAATAAAACTGCAATTTGCAATCAATAAAACAATATTTAGTGTTTTCTAATATTACACACTTAAATATCACATAGTTATAGATTACAATATTTCATAGTAATCCTAATGTTTCCTTAACACTATTTTTTCGATCATATGCGGAAAGGTCTGAGAACCAAACTGTTAGTTTAATATAAGTGATATACAATATAGCACTTAGGACGTTATAACCAAATCCGTGTATCCAAATATTGCACTGCTGGATCACTGAAGACTCGAGAACAGCACCATATAAGTTTAATCACCAGAAACATAAAACACCAAAACAGAACACTATTTCACTAGCACATTGCATTGTAGAGCAGATATTCACAAACAAAATAAGTAGAAATTACCACCATGATTTCTCCTCAATTCAAAATAAACTGCCATCATTATATTCTTTACCATCATTCCCTTGCTGTATTGAAACTCTCCAGTATTTAATTCCGACGGTGAATTACAAAACCGAGAAGAAAATATTTCTGAAAATAAGATGGAGCCTGAAATTATTGCGCTGTTAACTAACTTGTTCGAATTTGGCAGCTAGCCAAAGCGCACAAGCCTCGAGCTGCGATGTTTGTTTATATAATCATCTAGTAAATAATATGTATATGGAATGTCAATCTCTCGAAAGCAGTTCAGTCTAGACTTCTCAGCGGTTTGTATGATGGCATTAAACCTTTCAGTGGTTCTTCTGATAATTTTATAGAATCTTTTTTAAATGGCATAGAAGAATTATTTCAACTGAATATAATTACGACCAATGTTCACAAGATTATATTTACAAAAAAATATTTATCGGGCTCGCTATATATATAACAATAATCACTAAAACATTTGT